AACAACAAATGCAGCTGAAGACCCTTAATAGAGAAAACTTGTTTAAATGGGCTGCTTTCTGGGAACAAATTGTTGAATAAAAAGAACACCCCGGCAATGGGAAAGTTTTCTGCGTTGCCAAGAGGTTCCATAAAAAGACCATTTTATAGCATTAACCCATTCCCTGTAGAAGCCAGAGCATACCGCAGAGGATCACATGCTGCCTGGGAAGCAGCAGCACAGAGAGATGAAATACAGCAGCCAGAAAGGGCTCACAGCATCCAGGGCTCCTGTGCTTGCTCCCTGGGCAGCGGCTGGTGCAGAATGGTGCTGTGGGGATTCCAACAAGGATGCCAGACCAAGCAGCTCTTTCCCTGGGGCGCAGACACAACACCTTCCAAACTGAGGGCAACACCAGGAATTTTGAGCGAGCTCCCAAGCACACAGTAGGTGCCAAGGAAGGAGCAAAGGGAAATGCCAGATTTTTTCCTCTCCCAGAGAAGAACAGAGAAGAAATGATTCTACAAGAGAGTTAGGAGAGACAGGAAGGAACCAAGACAAAAAGTACTGCTGTAGCTTTTCCAGTATCGGAATGCTACACACAAGGTTCCAGCATCCTTATGCATCCACTGCAGAGTCCCAGGAACAGCAGGGATGATTTGGACTAATTACTTGATAATTTCTGCAGGTTTTTTGAGAGAGGCGTTTGTCCCCCTTACTCCTCCTGTGCAGACTGCAGGTAAGCTCTGATGCCAAGGAGAGCACTCTGGACAGGCTCTGTGGTTGCATTTTTGACAACAGGGCTGCTTACATCAGTTTAAGGAATCCTACTTCTCTTCCACTCCCTTGCTTCCTTGCCCATACTCTGCACCACCAGATATGCCAGCATGCTGTCTATGTAGCACATGGTGAGTGAGACCAGAGAACTGATCCAGATAAAAAACAACTCCAGGAAAAAAAGGTTTATTTTTCAGCTGGGTTGGTTCCTGCTCTGGGTCACTGCACAGCAGGGAGACTTGGGGATGAGAGCAAGTGCCGAGGATGGGGTCTGTAAGCTGTCAGTCACTAAAGGTCCCCTCCATCACCCACCCTTTCTACCCCTCTATGTGGTGGATTAGACTTCATTTTCTGTAGGACCTTTACTTTCATCCCAAGTTTAGATTTCTATGCAGAGATATGATTCAACCTACAAGAGTTTGAGAGCCTTCTTATTTCACATAACAGCCTTGGAGTGTCAGGCTACATCTCACTGTGTGGCTTGCTGCAAGCACCCTCAGGGTCCCAAAAACTTATAAAATGTTGGGGGGGATTTGTACTATATGACCTTCAAAGGTCCTTTCCAATCCAATCTATTCTATGGTTATACCACCTGCAAATAGACTTGTCCATCTATGTGCCACCATCCAGCACAACTGTGTAAATCCAGTCACAGAAACCACAGAGGTCTGTTATTAGCATGCTGCACACTCCATACTTTGCTCTTTCCTTTTCAGATGGTTTTCTGGTCACAGGGATGCAGCAGCTCTGCTCCCAGCTCTGGGATTAGTGACTTTTGGGCAGTCAGCATGAGGGTCTGCCCTATTCTCTACAGCAGGCAGAAAAACACCTGGCAAGCCTCCCGAGGCACCACCCTCTTGCCAGGCTGCACAAGGCTTGTCTGCCTTGTATTCCAAGTGGGATAGTTTTAGCACCAACTGCTTCAGTACCAAAAGGCGTCATGGAATTTTAATGACCACAGATGGCCACAGCTTCTGTTTTATGTCTAATCTGAGCCCCCCTGCCCCCAAAGTACCACAACAGCAGCACTGCGCTCCCCTCGGGACAGGATGGGGAGAGGGTGGACTCAGGTGAGTGCGTACTGCCAGTTCTACACCTCTGCTGCCTGTTCCTCAGCCTGGATGTTCCTTACCTAATACAGAACACGTTGACTGTATGCAAATATGATGGAGTGGGGCAACAGAAAACTGTGGGTGAATGTCAAATAAAATACTTTTGATCCATCTATTCAACAACACTCCAAATCCATGTCCTCAGGGTCTTTGAGACACTTATTAGCTGGAATACCTTGTTTTTGTGCTGGATGATTAGATTCCCACATTTTTCCACAGGCGAAGGAAGCATGCCCAGATATAGTTCATAGCAACTGAGCAAATTCATTGTAAGTAGTGGCCAGATGTTGGCAAGAAGAGACTTAAGAAAAGCTCATGCTATTTTCTCATTTAAGTATATAGGAAAATGGATCCTCCTATCCAGCTGTGAGCTTTTGCAGAATACACCCTGGAGTACAGCTGATGGATGTGCCTCCCACAGCCCATAGGGTTTGATGCTGTTCCAAGCATGCTTCATGGGGAGTATTCCATTCAAAATAATTATCAACTTGAATAGAGTAAGTACCAATCTATGCAAACCCACTTTGTCTGCTGCCTGGGAAGAGATTACAAAGCACATTTGGCTATTGTGTGCATGCTTGTAAATTTTAAAGTGCTGGGTGAGATCTCTGAGTCTGGAGAGCATCAGAGGATCTTGAGAGCACTAAGGAAATGTGGAACCCAAATCTTTCTACTTCCTCCTCCCAAAGGAGACCCAGACTGTATTCAGTAAAAGTCACCACAGCTTCAGTAACTCCTTATAAATCTTACACTAGCTTCAGATTTAGGGAACCCACACAGGAAAAACCTGCTCCCAAACTCTCATCTCCCATCTTGGTTACATTAATTTCTCCTTGTGGTCCTTCCCTGACACCCATAATGCCCCACCTTCACTCAAGACAGACCAGAGTAGTGCAGATCTGACACAGCATTGCCACCACATTGCTCCCTCTCAGTCTCTTCACTGTGGCACCCTTTCCATCACACCACACAGCAGGGCTTTCAGGCTCCTCACTAACCCCGCTCTTTTTTGTTCTCCCAAGAAATCTTCTGTTCTGTTGCCAATGGGATGGAGCTATCCACTTTGCTCCTCCAGTGCTAGTTGCTTATTTTCCTCACTGGCCTTGCATTTCCAGCAATTGTCTCCTTGTTCCCATCTGCAATGCCTCCCCTCAGCACAGGCCTGCCTCTGAAGGGCTGCGTGGTATCACTTCATTTACACTCCTCCTGGATACCACTATCCTTTACAGTGACCATAATAATCTGCCTAAATTAGTCCCAGGCTTCTATTCTTCACTTTCCCTTAGGTTATCCTTAAGAGAATCAGGACATTGGTTTTTTGAAGTGCAATTCAGTTTTAAAGACTCTGAAGGCAGATGAGAAAACCTATGTGTAGTTTAAGTCCACAACAGACTCTCTGAAGACACAGTAGGTTAGAAAATTCCCCACTATGCTCTGAACATGCAGCCAGCTGAGGTGCAAGTACAGATTCCCCACATGTGACTTGAGGTCTGCAGTCTGGGCCACAGTTTCGAGACTTGGGCTGCGGTTTGATTACAAAATAAATCTGACTGTGGTTCCCAGTATTAGGTCGAAAATGCCACAGATATATGACATGAAACATGGATCTAGCACTCCACCAAGTTAAACATATTTGGAAAATTTAGACAAGTCAGTTTTTTGTGGCAAGGTGTTGTAGTAGACTAGGTCCTACGCCACCTTACTGTCCTGCCAAATCAGGTATGTACTGTCTACCACAAGTAGCCCAAAGCTGACATAACACCATAAAATTGCATAAACTCTGTGTTGTGTGATCAGACTAGTTTGACAGAAATGCAGTTGTGTGTACAAGACCGATCCAGGTTAAACAGGGACTGCTGGGTGATCCGTCAGTGCCCAGATCCACAGTGCAGGTAAAACTAGAGCCTTCAGAGTATTGTGGGGTTCTTTCTTGCAGGACAAGGAAAAAATGTTAAGTGTTTGCAGCTGCATAGTTAATCCTGCTGCAAAAACTGATGCAAAAAGGGTTTGTGTGGGCTGTAGGCAACTTTGAGGCTCCAATAAGGATACCGAAGATGGCAGCTGTTAACACTGCCAAACCTCTTTCTGAGATGAAAACTCTTTGCAGGGAAAAAGACTGGCTGCTCTAAAGCACATCACATATTGTGAGTGAAACTGTGCTGCCTGTAACAGAAACACATTGGTAACCAGCCACAAACCAGCCAAGGGTGAGAGTAAATAAGCCCTGCACCGGGAAACAAGCACAGGCAGCAGGAGGCGATGCATTTCAAGTATGGGAAGGTGAGGGGGATGTGGTGCCTGGAGCAAGGGGCATCCGGGTGGGATGGGGCAGCTGGAGGAAATGGGGCAGCTGGAGGAAATGGGGCAGCCAGAGGAAATGAGGCAGCCAGGGGGAATGGGCACTCAGCTACGGTGAGATACCTGGGAATATGGGGTTTCAGGGAGGGATGGGGGTGCCCAGAGCGGATGGGGTGACCCTTCTCCATCCTCTGTAGCCAGGCAGAGGGCTGCAGAGCTGCAGAGACAGCATTTGTGGCTGCAGAGAAAGGAAGGGGTTAACTGGATTCGGGTAGCCCCCTCTCTGCTGAACTCATTGATTCATTTTCTCTGTTCCTATTTCTTTCTCTCACTTTCTTCTTCTCTCTCTTGCAGACTGATTAAAAACTCTTTGAGTTTGAAGGTTTTTGTGTCAAAACAGCTCAGATGCCAGCTGGGTGCCAAGCAGTGAATATTCATGGTATTTAAATGTGACAGTGCGGTGGGGGCTAAAGGACGGGCTAGTTAGCTCTTTTTAGATGGAGATTAGCTGCCTCTTTGCTCCTAATCACCACTGTTGTTGAAATATTACAGCTTCTGTTACAACTATTAATGTCCTAAATGAAGAACAGGCTCCTCTGAATAACATCAAACACGAAATGGTCACTTCCAATTTTAGCCTGTTTCTCTCCTCTTTGCTAATGTGTGTTTTCGTTTCTAACTGGGGACCTGCCTTGGTGCCATACGGTTCAGCTTCAAACCCTGCAGGAGAGGAGCGAGCCTGGGTCGAGGGAGCTGTGGAAAACCGGAGTATTCCACTCTCAAGTGAGATCAGCATCGAGAGAGGTCAATAGCTGGACAGAGGTTGTAATTTACCTCATGATGGCTGCTTGGAGTCAGGAGCGGGTAGCCATCTGCAAGTCAATCCTACATGGACAAGCGTTCAGAATCTGCTACTCCAGGTGAAGCCCCTGTTCCCTGCACAGGATAGAGGCAACTAAGTTATTTTCCTGCACCGAGTAAGCGTCCAGACAAGCATGAGCTGAGGCCCACCACTGGAGTGATGGGATGGAGGGCACAGTGCTCCATTGCTCTCTGGGCTGGTGTTTGCCAGGTCAAACTGAAAACCACAGCCCTCGGTTCCACCTGGAGCATTATAAATGGTGAGGTAAGCCGACAGGCTCCTATTTGAGCTTCGCTCAGATAAAACTCCCACTAAAGTAAGAAGCTGGATAAAATCTGTGACACGGTGGTGTGAGTTGGTCCTTTCATGGCAATATCTGGAGGGAAGCCTGATGGAAAATACTTTGCAGCAAAAACTGCCCAGATGTCCAGTGCATGTTTGGGCATTTGGAACCTCTCCGCATTCATCCACAAGGACTGCCTGCCGTTATCCGGGAGCACGCCTGGCAGTGTGACGAAGAGGAGGGAAAACCCATGTGTGGTCCTTAAGCTCTGGCAAGAAATAGCAGAGCAGAACACCAGGCTATTGATTTCATGTTTGCTTTAAAAACAACCTAAGTGCATTCCTGGAGCAAGGCTGGTCTGGAAGCCTAAATAAAATAATATTCTTCAGCCTTGAAAACTGACACTAGACTTCAATGAATGCTTTAAAGTCCTGTCCCCCAGACTAAGACCTGTACATTTCCTAAGCTCTTGTCTACACACAAAAATGGTGCTACTTTAACTAAACCAGTGTACCTAAGGCAACATATCTCTCCCCTCTTCCATTTCTTTCTCTTCCCTGTGTGAAAACCGCTAAAAAACACCCTTATTTGACAAAACCTTCCTTATTGGAAGTAGATATGTTTTTATCAATATGAGACTTATTAGTGTCAGCACATCTGAGTAGGATTAGTGATAGCATTATTATTTTGGTAGCAAAAAATCACATCCATAAACAGCATACTTAGACTGCCTCAGAAGGGATGCACAGAGCAAACCTATGGAAAAGGGCAAGCAGAATGGGTCTAATGCATCTTCCTGCTGACAGGACTTATGTGCTGCACTTTATAGAGTGCAAATGATCCCATCTGAGATAGTCAGGGACTTCTCTGACTCTCACAAGGCTGTACAATATCTGGTTAAAACGTGTGCACGTTATTTACAATGTACAAGCAACACCACAGAATTTGGACCTTCTACAGCATAAGCAGAGCAACAGAAACTGCATGTCAGCTAAGTTCACTAGAAAACAAGCAAAAAAAACCCCCTAACAACCAAACAGAAACCACAATGCATTCACAGATACAAATAATAGATTTGCATTGGTCTGTCAGAAATGCTAATTTCCATGAATGGTACCAGAAATATGTGGGTGTGGCCCTTTGAAATTCTTGCCTCTCAAGGCAAATTGCATTGGCTAACACTGAGTTCCTAAGGAAGAAGAAAAAAAAATAGGATATACATATATTCCCTTCTGATAGAACATCGGGACTATAGATTTTGGCAGATTGCACTGGATGTTCAAGATGCTTATTAGCAATGCAGTTTTTCAGGAACTGCAGTTGTGCAGGAAAACCAATATGATTTCTCATTGGTCCCTTTGTAAAGGCAGCCTGGTAATAAGAATATTATAATATTGTAAGAAGAATAATCATCATCATAATCATCAAATTTCTAACCTTTGTCTTGATACTTCCAGGATTTTCCTGCATCAATCCTATTTTCCACTCAGGCTAAACAACTTCACAAGTTTATTCTAAATGCTGTATTTAAAGCTTCAGTTCTAATATCCTCAGTAATAGTATCAAAGCCTTCAGGTGTCTTAACCACTGAAGTTAGGATGACCTGAATTGCACTAGATTTTTCCTTCAACAGTGGTTGTTTCATTCGTTCTAAGTAAATCAGATGGCACTTAGTACATACTTCTGGAGGAAGAAAAAACTAAAGACAGATGGATGTGGCTCCCAGCAGGCAGCAGTTTGAAAACATGGCACCAAATACATCAATAGTCCCAGTCTGTTCTTTGACATATCGGAGTGCCTCTTGTCTTCCTCAGATAATTTTCTTCAAAAGTGTTCAGCCCTGACAAATTCTGAGCTCCAGAGTTGTATGAAATGGGAATAATCACAATGCAGCCATAACTGAGGCATAGTAGTTCAGTCAGAAATGCAAGAATCCCCCCAATGCACTAATGCTGGTGAAAATCAGCATGCAGGCGCTGTTAGTCAGCAAAAAATGAAAGTACTGGCAACCTGGCAAAGTTCTTCTGGAACAGCCCCTCCTTGCTGTGGGGTTGGAAGCTCCATGCTAAGGGGTTGGGCAGCATCACAGAGGTGTGGGTATCCAAGGCTCCCTGTTCCCAAGAGGAGCAAGCACACCGACAGCTCATTAGCTAAACTGCAGCAGGACAGGAAAATAGAGGAGCAGTTCTCCAGACCAAAAGCAGACTTGTCAAACATGCATCACGTTCCAGCATTCCCACTTATCAGACAGGGACCAGAAACAAAATGATAACCTACACTGTCAAATTCCTGATACCTTTCCTTTCTGACACCAGTGATCACAGAAAAAAAAGCCATCCAACTCAGACCAACTGTCCTGACTCCCAGCAGCCCCACAGGAAGAAAGGAGACAGAGCAGTAGGCGCTACTTCTCTTGGTTGCAAGTGTCTGAAGGCATCCTCTTTCCTTCATAATTGTGTTCTCTTAATCAAGGGTTGCTTATGCTGTTAAGGAGTAGTGATTTATCAGCTGCTGACTGTGAGCAGAAGGAACTGAACAGGCATGTCCACCTCTTCCTTTCACTATAGTGATGTAATCTCCTCTCTCCCCACTTTCTAGTTCACCCAAGCCTCACAGATGCCTTCTTCTGCTTGATTACAAGTTACGTCCTCCCTCTCTCCCCTCCATCTGTCCTTGCTCTTCAAGACTTCAACTGCTGACCCCATGCCCGCCCCTTCAGTGCCTTCCCCTTCCTGCTCCCTAGCTCCCTTTGTGTCCTTTCAGCAATTCTGTCTTTATCATGCTGATCTCCCCTCCTCAGCACAGTGCCACAAAGCCTTCCCCAGCTCCTCCAGGGGCACCACTCTTTAAAGCAATCCCTTCTCATCACCAGTATCTCTCCTTTATCACATGCCTCAGTTCACCTGACTGAATTGATAGGTGCAGACAAGTTTGCAGACCAACGTCCAAATTTGATTTATTAAATGATTGATAACAAGGATTTTTGTGCATGGATGTACATTACAGCAGACCTTCACAATTATGAAGTTGTGTCAGGTCTCCACTGTCTCCTGGTGGCCCAGGTAACAAAGGCTTACAAAGCCTTTCATGTCCTGTTGGTGAGGAGGTGTTAGGAGTAGATGTCATTTCTTTCTGCTCTGAAGTCTGCTTCAGACAGGGTATTTGTCCTGCACACTCTGAGTCCACAAGCTGTTGGCTGAACCAAAACCCAGTTTATCTGGGAGAACTGGCACAGGGGTCCCTGAACTCATGAGGAGCATAGTGTTCCTGCACTGGCCAAGCTGCAATGGGCTCTGAGGAGTACGTCAAGATTAATCTCATTAAGTCCTATTTGATTTAGATCTCGCTATCTCTGAAATTGTCTCCTTTCTTTTCCAACTTCCAGAAGTAAAAAACTGTGTGACTTTGCTAACAAGTGCTGGACTACTTTAACATCTGACTGATGCAAGTTAAAGCAAGGACTGAGGGCAGCTGATACAGGAAAGATTCCAGTGAGAAAAGCTGGAGATAACCAATCTCCCCCTAAAAATGAGAGCAGACGGAGAACAGGTGGTAAAAATACAAGCACCTCTCCCCTCTACCCACAGCTCAAAGTGTCCAATTGCTTGTATCCCTGCTAATCCTGGCCTTATACCTTCTCCTTGTGCATCTCCAACGTCCCTGCTTCCAAGAATGTTGCTCCAAAGTGACCTACTTTTCATGTACTCATTTTTTGAAGTATTTACATGAGAAATCAGAGGATTGAGGCTACACAAATGAATATTTCTGGTCATTCACCTCCACCATGTTTTAATTTTCTTGCCTTAATCACCTTGTGCATATCTCCTGTTGGCTGTCTGGCACACACCCTGGCACATCACAGACTGGAGAATACTCCTTCACTTCAAGCTTACCTGAGAGACCTGAAAGGACTTTTTTATGTCAGAGGACATGAGATCTGCACTTCTGTCTGGTCCATTCGCCCATAAAAACAAGGTTATGTCTCATACCCAAAAGCCCACTTGGGTAGCCCATGGCAGAAGGCACAACAATGACAGAGGTGACAGACCTCCCTTGACAGCTGCTTGTTTGCTGATTCTGATAGTGTCTGTCTGCTCTCCCGTGTGCACAGACCCTCAAGCATGGACCTTCCCACCAAGCCAATGTCCAGCTCCAACTTCATTTTCCAGTCTGCATTTTCCTATTACTCATTCTTTCTTTCTGTCAATCAGGTCATTGTATGGTTACTTTCTAAACTTATTATTTCTATTTTTAAACAGAGATTATATCCTGTTCATTAAAATTACCTGCATTTGCAGGAGGGCCAATCAGCTTCTCAAGGCATTGCCTCACTGATGATCTGGCAAGCAGCATCAAGCACAAGGAGGAAACTGAATACAGCATCTGGATCCTTTTCACAAAATCAAGGGCTGGCTTTTCTCCAGGGAAAAGCAATGTCTCCACATGTCCCCTCTGCCACTTGGACCCACCATTGGGCTCTGCAAAGAGAAGCTTTGAGTGGAGCAGCCCTGCTAGCAGAGGGCTGGTAATGGCACAATTCCTTCAGGCAGTCCCAGCTTCAGGATCTAAACCTTGGACAGTATTAATTACCCAGCAAGCAGCTTGTTAGAAATTGTATTGGCACACAGATAAGGGGAACTGTAATCGAATCAGCCAATTAACCAGCCGATGGTGCTGAACTAAATGTGACCCCATCGTTAATTGTGTTTTTTTCTCAGCAGTTTTCTCATCACATCGGGTGCTCAGGAGAGGGGAGAGAAAGAAGGCTTATCCAGGTGCTTAATTTATTTC